AAATTGGCTTCGGGTTGCGACCAATTCGGGGTGCGACCAGAGTCACGGAACGAATTAAGTTCGTAAACCAAGGTACCACTGTATATGAAGAAGATGGGTATTACTTCAGCCTTTATAAGCTACTAAAAAATTAGGCAATAAAATACACCCCAAAACCATCAATATTGCAAAAGGTGCATAATAAATTACTGTCTTTTATAAGACTGTTCTGAAAAACACTATACACACCCACATGGATACACACGTACTTACCTATATGCATACAGATAATAAAGAAAATTGCCTACCCATCTCAAAAAGCAGCATGTATCAAGCAAGTGGGAAGGGCAAACCAAAATTTAAAATTAACTGCTATCCTGTTTGTAATCAGTTATGATTGGCTGGGAGATACTGAACAAACTAGCATGGAAATATATGCTGGTGACTCTCGACTAAAATTGTAAGTATGTGCATTGTTGCCGTGTGTAAATGAGCTGTGTTGGGTAGGCTATGGGAGGAACTGATCAGCAAACTCCATCTGCATCGTTCGATGTGATTGCAGTGTTTGTTATTGCCATTGGAATCACAGCAGTCACTATTTATTTATTTTGACTGTTGAGAAACCTATTAATCACATACAGTGCTGCGTATCCCCTCTCCTCTGTCTAGTTTTAAGCTTTTTATGCTTGTACAGATAACACTTCTCTTTGTGCACCCATAGAGACTAGAAACTTAACTTTTAAAAACAGAGCTGAGTGCTGTATGACAGGTTCTGCACTCAGCATCAGTTTCAAAGCCCTACCCGTTGCATCCAGCACAGATGCCCACAATTTTAACATATATCCTATCCTCAGATTAGCTATTCTAACCATGTCTCTTTACCTTTGTCTCAGGTAACAGTACCAATTGAGATGGTGATAGTTAATTCTTCCACTGTAGATCAGGCCCAGTCCGAAGCAAAACAGCTCCACAAAGAGAACAAACAGGTTGACAATGAAAATAGTATTTCTCAAGGTAATTATTTTATTTTATCAAACTATCAGAAGAAAAACTATATATATTCAACAGTGTTAACCACATAATGTAATCTCAGCGATGATCATTTAAAAAAAAAAAAACAGGGGAAGCCCTGGAAATTAAGTTATGAAAGAACAATTCCAAAAAGATTTGACCATATTACTCAAAATTCTTAACTGCCCCTTTGTTGGGGGGGAAAAAAAAGGCTGACAAGCAACACATTTCAGCAACCCATTGCTGCAAGTCAGGTAGTGTTCTGTGATTTTCCCATGCCTCCAAAATCCACAGTTCTTGATATCTTTATAGCTTCCAAATATTGGAGACATTACCAAAAAAAAACCCCTATGCATTTTAATACATACTTCTAAGATAAGAGGAAACGAATTTCATGTCACTTAAAGTAGCCTTCCGCTGGTTTACCAAGACAGGACATTCAATCTGATTATTCAGAGATTTTGTAAATAACTGACGTAAATATAATTAGCTTCCTTCGACTTACTATAAAAAAGAGGATTGTTTGCAAACTAATCATAATAAAGAAGGTTCTTCAGAAAGAAAGGATTTGCTGCTGTTCTTTTCTGTTATGTGAGTTTTGCTGTACAGCATTACAGTCTGGGTTATAGGACTCTATTAACCCCTCTGTTAACTAGGATCCTGGATGAATATCTGCTCTTAAACCTTCTGAGAAAAGGAATGTACCCAGCAATATGACCTAATATATGTATGTGACTTTACCCTACAAAAAATGTAAAATGTAACCTTGCTTTTAAGGAATAAGGTGGTTGACTGCTAGTATTAAGCAAGAAGGAAGAGCAATTAAAGGAAGAAATTACATGGGGAATATTAAAGAAAAGTCTTCCCGTGATTTCTTCCTTTAACTTCTTCTACCTGGTCTTCTCTAATCCAAAACACCCAAAGGGCTCAAGATGGGGTAATTTACCTTGCTCTTAAGATTTCCAGATATGTTTTGGGACATTCAACCCCAGTAAGAAACAAGCAATCTCGAGGTGTAGAATTGGGACTGTGTTTCCCATCCTCTCCAGATTAGCAGGGTGAACGGCAGTAGAAATGTTGAAGGTAAGGCAGTGGAATGGAAGCAATGAACGTTAAGCATAAACATTATACCAGAGATGAAGAAAAGATGTCTTGGTTTTGAAAGAGGACAAATTGGATATAAAAAATGGATGAAGAATATGGACCTTCAAACCATTTTTAAGTTTGACATCCCAGTGTAGAATGTGAAGCAGCTTAAACTGATAAGTGGTGCCTTTACCTTTTGAAATTATTTTATATGCACAACTAAGCCGAGTCCCCAGTATGCTGAGTTTAACATTGTGGCCACGACTTATTTTAGAAATCATATCCTCTGCCAGGATAATGTACATAATGCTGATTAACTAAACAATATTATACAGATACAGTCAGGTCCAGAAATATTGGGACATCGACACAATT